GATTGGCAGTTTATTTGTTTCGAAAATACTGGTTGATGTCTAATCAAATCTACCGTTTCGTTTATATTATTTGAATGAAATTCAAATATCAATGTATATATTCATGTGAGCCTCCGTAAAAATGATATGGTTCTAGATCGCTGGCTACTTGAAGTTAGCATCTTCGCCCAAATTGATTGTTCATTTTGTTGTCATGGTTATGCTTGTAAACAGATTATGTTTCCAATCACAAACTATGCTTGAAAATACAATTCTCTTTTTTTTAAAAAACTCAATACCATTGTATTAGCGTATGTATAATTTAATCATTATTTTATAAAAGATTTCCAGAATCGAAATATATGACATTCAAAAGAAATTTCTGATGTATATGTATTCTATTTGTGAATATTTGAAATATTGATTGGTTATCTATAAATACACCTGTAAATGTTTACAATCATAGTAACATTCATGATTTCACTATTATCGTACAATGTAGCTGATGTATGCTGATCATTTCTCATGTATCGATAGAACATGACGCTGAAAATAATAAAATCACCATATATGATGGTTCTTCAAATGTATTTCTCAATAGTTGAACTCGCAAAGGGCTGTAGAAAATTTTAATAAAATGCATAATTACATGCTCATATCATATAATTTATCGAATAAAACTGGGAAATTTATGGCATGAAATGAATATTTTAGAAATATATGATACAAAATTTTGAATAGATTTTCACCTTTGAAATTCCTTTTACTTATAGTATAGAAATCACTTGCTCAGTAGATAGCCTAGTTTCTACAACTAACCTACTTTAATGTTTGATGAAAAATAAATTTACCAAAATTGGCTTATGGTATTTTTAATTGATTTAACATTTCTGAATCACTAAATCGTAAGTTAAGGTAATAAAATAAGAAATCTCAAATCACTTGGATTGCTTCTTGTATAAACATAACACAAATGAAAACAAATCATCATAAAACATTCTGTTTGTATAATGATGAAACTAGTTATTTACAATACACGTAGGGTGAACTTTCATTAGTGATATACGACTAGTTTATTGATTTTCGATTCTTCTATGATTAAGAAAAAATACAGTTTCAGTTTTGATTTGATCGACTAAATAGTTAAGAATATCATGTAAATGACCCAGATTATGATGAGTTGATTCAAAACATGAACAAAGAATGCTGTTTATGATTCTACAAAATCATCCATTTTTATTTATGGTTTTTATTCATTCAGTAATCAATTTATGGTCATTAGACTATAATTAGCTGCTTAAATGAAAGTAAAATCGATACTTGTCAATAGTGAATCAATTTTGTAGACAATAATCATTTAGATAACTACTAAAGACAATAAAAGACTGAACAACTCTCTCGTATTTGTGTGATTCTTTAAAAATGAGCATCCTCTATTTCTAGTTTGAAGCCATAAAAAGTGAAGTTTAGACATTTTGAATGTAAGGCAGCTAGCCACTAAAACACTTAAAGTTAATTGTAGGATATCACACATTGATTTAAGTTACAAATACGAACCATTGAACTTTAACTCAGTAGTCGAAAGGTAAATTACTTCAGCTCGATCCCCAGTATCTACTGAGGATTATTATTCAGTACATTATGTACTTATTTGATCTGTCTGTGTAGTTTAAAAATCCTCTGACCATTTAATTAATAGAAAATTTCACACTGAACTGCCTGATGATCTTATTTATTTATTGACTGAGATTGTTTAAATGATAAATTTTTTCCCGCTAAATTTAACGATTGATCAGTTTACTATTTAATGCTTAGAGAGTATACGTTTGATAATGATACATCATAAAAACTAGAACAACAGCAGAAGACACAGACAGCACAATGATGTTTTCTTCAACGAGGAGTATTTTTCTACCGGAAATAATCATATTTTCTAAAAAATAAATCAAAAGTAAAACATATAATATGATTATTGACTGAGAGTATGGTAAGGAGAATTAACAGAGAGTACTCTTTTTATCTATTAAATCAGAAATGTACATCATTGTATTTTTGAAGTCACTTCTATTTATTCAATGAAGTTTAATGGAGAGTATTTCAATTGAGAGATGGCTGTCTTCACAAGAACAGATCTTTAAAAGCATTAGAGCTTTATTTTTTTCACGTTTAACTATTCTTAATTTAATATGACACAAGGTTCTTGACGGTACGCATTCATGATTTCAATTTGGTCTTTTCGTATTCAGTTATATATTTACTTCATTAGTATTTGAAAAAAAATACTTCATCTTTATATATCAGTCCATGTACATACAACGGGTCAAAATGGTGGTAATTTATTTCTATTTGTGATTGTATAATTTAATGAAATAAAATATTTTAATTTATTTTCTATTTAGGTGATGGTTGCACATAATGTTAAAAATTTTGTCTTATCCAGTTCTGCTACTGTTTATGGTGAACCACAGTCTTTACCATTAACTGAAAAGCATCCTGTTGGAAATTGTCAAAATTCATATGGTAATACAAAGCTTTGCTGTGAATTAATCTTAAAGGTAAAATAACTAGCTAACATTGATAATAATTGTTGTTATTGTTAATTCATGAATTGTGTACGCTTTTAAGTGATATGACTTATTCTATGTTCCAATACCTATTAGATAAGATTTAGAGCACATTTTATTGTTAAAGGACAGATTCTTAAAACGTGAATTCCAGGATAACATTTGTCTAATGTTTATGTTTTTGGTTTCCATAGTTATAACTTCTTACTACTAGTACTTATGTTTTCCATGTAAAAATATATTGCCATCCGGGCTGCAGAATCAAGCAACATACCGACCGAAGCGCTGAAATTGAATACAAAAGTAAGTGTGGAGATGCTTCACATTCTCTTCCGAAACATTTCCGAGAAAGAACAAGTACCGACAAATTGAAAAGAGGAATACCTCATCTTAATGCCAGAAAAGGAAACCTTAGCAAGTTTGAAAATTACAGAGGGATCACAGTACTATCAGGACCACATAGAGGGCTCTACAAAGTGGCGTTGAACAAAATAAATGATTCTGTAAATGTTTAAATTAAACATTGATAAAGTGGTTTTCTTATAGATAGGTCATGCACAGACCAAATCGCAATACAGTGGATCATTGCTGAACATTCAGTTGAATGGAACTAACCTTCTTGACTATCAGGGAGCATTTGACAGTGGATAGGAGAACTTTGCGGAATTTTCTTCGACTTCGTGATGTACTTGAGAAAATTGTCACCATTCTACAAAATTATTACAACACACTACACTGCGAAATCCTGCAGGGAGGACTGCTCTTTTATTCCAAGTGAGGACTTTTGTCAAACAAGGCTGCTAACTCTGACCTTTTCCATTTGTTCTTCTGATGACCTCCACACCTCAGAGGGATCACGTAATACAGTGGAAAGCTTGGATGCAGATAGACGGCCTAGCGTTCTCTCTCATACACAGTAGAAAATGCAAGTGAAAAATACAGCACAGCGAGCGCCAATCAGATCGAACTTGACAGAGAATCCATGGACGAGGTTGAAGCTTTTACGTGTCCGGACAACATCATTGATAAAGAAAGGGGATCTGATGCGAATATGACAGCATTAACTGGCAAAATAAGGGTAGCATTCCTACGATTGAACAACAGCTTGAGCTTAAAACAACTTTCAGCCAACCACAAAGTCAGAACTTTCAATTAAAATATCAAAATAGTTTAATTGTACGGAGCTGAATTTCAGGAAACTACTGTACACATTGTCAAAAAGATGGTCATTTAGAAACAGTTGTTTGTTTGACCTACTCCAGATCTGTTGCCCAAACGCTACCAACAACCACCTACCGTGGCAGAAAAATAACCAGCTCTCAACTTGAAAGGAAGTAGGAAAAAGGCGGATAAACTATCAATTGTAGAAATCATTAAACTGCGTTACTTGGCAAGACCTAACTTGTAATTCTCAAAGTAAAAGGAATATAATTAGACAAAAGAACATGTTACTCCGAGAATTGGAAACAGACAGAAGAATTAACAACACTTTAGGAAAACTGGCAAGTGGAGTAAAGGATATAGTAGTATGGAGATTTCTAGTCGGTGGCTTATGCTTCAAAAGTGAATAAGAAGTGAGTAATGATTTATACTTTACAATTTCAGTGAGTTATCAGCATAACGCAACTACTCTTTGATATCATCTGTAAACGTAATTAATTTATTGATTGGATTCAACAGTTTATAGTGTGTTATAACTACAAGCTGTACCTATTTTAAAAAATGACTATTAACCATTGTGCTTTTCTTTTTTGCAAGTTACATGCTAAAAATTACAAACCGATTTTTGTTGTTTATAACTGAGTGCTTCATTAGTAATGTGGTTTGAGTGTATGAAATCGATGTATTTAATTTGCACTTATTGTGAAGTGATTTTATTGTGTAGCAATTATTCTATTTCGTTCAATAAAAAATTTGAAAAAATCACTTATTGATATTTCATGAATTTTCACATAATTAAATTGCTTGTTGACATATTTCACTGTTTTTGTACAACTGGATTATATCTTACTGTTTTTGACATCAGAATCAATCAAACGGATTTAATTTTATAAAAATATTGTTTTTTTTTAAATTGAATTTTTACTAATGGAAATACATCAGTGCTAGTGTTATCGCTAAGACCTATGAATATTATTCATAAATTATGAGAATAATTTAAATTTCATAGTTATCCAATGTACAATCAAAGCTTTAATTAAAACTGATGCCCAATGAACAATATTTAGCTTTCTTAATCATCAATAATATTTGAAATGACGGAGATTGTGTTCATATTTTAATGGGAAAAAGGATTGTTTATGCTCTGGGAAATCTTATGCGAGATAGATTATGTGTTCTAAGTTTCACTTTTAGCTTGCTACTATTTAATTCTAAGACTTTGATGTTACAGAAACTGAATTTGTAGATTGTTAGGACTAAAAATTATTTAGTGGAGTCGTGGATACGCACTGCCAATGAATCCCATACCAGGGCGAGACGGCCGTCCAGTGCTTCCAAGTTTCTAATGGTCTAACACTGATTGATTGACGATTTCAAATGTGTTAAAACACTAATCTCCATAACTCTGATTAAAAATTATTTTTTAGATTTATTAACTTTACAAGTATACAATTTTCTAGCACATGCTAACAATAATATTGAGCTAACAATAATATTGAAAAAGAAAACATGTTGAAAATGATTTTACTTTTGAAAGCTAATCCATTCTGTTTTAGATATCTTCAGTATTTTTTTTTATACGTATGGAATATTTTTTCCGTAATTAAACCTCACACTTTGTGATTTGTTCATTTCCGCCCAATTAACAGTTTGAAATTCATTGGTCATTTGACATCCATAATAAAAGTTGATTAGTTTTTGATCATTTTAATCTAGACCATGACTTTGGTAAAAGAAGTGCTACTCATTAATTTTTTGAGAAAAACTTATTTTGTTCGAAATTTCTAACTAGCTTTATATGTGAATTAAAATTTATTTATTACAATAATCGAAATATGACGACTGTTTGTTTTAACTATAAATTTAACTAATCAATAATCAGCTAGTCCTCGTCGTGGTAATAGCGGTATTAAGAACCATAAAATCCATAACAAAAAATCAATCAAAGGTTGAGAACATTACAAAAGCACTGAGAAAAATCCTATCGGAATTAACTCAATACACACATACTTCTGATTTTATTTTGACATGTTACAATCATCTGTGTTGCGTGCATGATTTAAAACTATTCTAATTTAATCTGACTTTTTTTAAAACATCTATGTATTTATCGTAATCGGTTATTACTTTTACCTGACTATTTATTGAACTCAACACAATTAATGACCTTTTTCTATTACTTCACATCTAAAGTCTGTTTATTAAACTCGACAAAATCTAATTGAATTTCCCAATTGAATTAATCATTAATAACCAATTACTACTAATCAAGTACACCCATTTCATTAATAAGGTGTATTTATTTATTTTCAAGTGATCTATCTTACTCCGAATTTATTCGTATTTTTGTATATTTTTATGTCAGGATTTGTATGGATCTGATCCCACATGGAATATTATTAGTTTACGATATTTTAATCCAGTTGGTGCACATGCCAGTGGACTGATTGGTGAAGATCCTCGAGGAATTCCAAATAATCTAATGCCTTATGTAACTCAAGTAGCTAAAGGTTTATTGCCCTATGTAAATGTTTATGGAAATGATTATCCAACAATCGATGGAACAGGTCAGTTTCTGGCATTCAACTTATTCATAAATTTATATTTTTAGGGTCAGTAATGATTATTGATTTTTTTGTTCTGTTACACACACATGACTTTGGAAGGCATTCAAATTGATGAAAACACTATAGAGTTGGGTTGTTAGTAGTATAAAAATAAAATTACAGGAGTCTATTATTCAATGAATAATAAATATCAAGAAAATGGAGAAAAAAATCAATTGAGTATTATTATTTTTCTATTATTAACAACTCATTATGTAATATAGAGAATTAAAAGTGAGATTCAGACCATAGTAGAATACAATGTTGAATATATGGCTTTTGAATATGAAATTCAAGCTTAAATCTTAGTGAATAGACAAAACTTGTGCTCTAGTTTTTAATCTGTCTGCTTTACTTCGTAAATGCATTCAAATGAACTATATGAATAGAATAAGTTAGTAGTTCATTGACTGGTTTATTATTTATTCACAATTAGCGTAATAATTAGTAATACACCTAGAATAGTAATCAATTATAGCCTTGTTTCACAATAAGAGACAATCTAATAAAATGTGGCAGATAATTCATTTATAAAACATGTATATCTTCATATTTGCTTCTGATCTATTAAATTAAGCGAAATATTTACATCAATTAACTTATGTATTTATTCAGTTTACAATAGCGATATTCCTGTGCGTTCATTTTACATATTATATATGAAACTACATATACATCAAATAAAGTTCACTTGAAGCATATTTTAATTTTGAATATTTTTATTTTGAAATAAATTTTTAATGAATATCTTATTCTCAAAATCGAAAGTGTGGTGAATTATTGAAACAAACAGAAATTAAATCTAGCTAAAGTTGGTGACTGTTTGAAACAAATTTACTATCTGATACGTTACTTATTCGTTTATTGAATTAAGATTGTCTAGCTCTCTGATGTTATCGTTCATGTTCAACGGTTGCGTTGTATCTAGCACTTCTAGTCATTTTTGAGAGCGCTGTATATTAAGGGGCATTTTACATTAAATACTACCTTTTAAGACTTAAACTTTACAATATTAGTGCCAATGTAGCCATTCTAAGCTACACTAATATGTCTATAATAGACATTTGAGGATCCTGATACTTATAATGAAATTTTTAATGAAAACCACACTTCAGTACGCATCACCTACCCCACTAAATGAGAGGAAAATAACTTACAGTGCTCTATAAAAAAATAGATATTGAAAATGTTACTGATAACCAACCTCAACTACCTAGTCCTATCATAGTTAAACTTACTTACTTATTGACATGGAACGATGTTTTGTATAACTTGAAATTATGCAAGACTAATAAAGTTAAATCACATCATTTAACTAATAAATTTCAATTTAATATTATGAAACGAATTTTGTTGGACTGAATTAATTATATGTAATGGCTTATTTTTTTAACTTGCCGTATGCATGAAATCGAAATTGAATTTGTTAAGTCAGAATATTCCACTGATTATTAATTATATTCTGCTTCAGCTTGAAGAATAATCAATCTACTAGTTACTATTATTAGTATAATACTCATCGAAACAGTGAGACATTTTCTTATATTCAGTAAATGTTTCAATACTTTAGTATGTGTCAACATTCAAAACTTGACTATCCTTTAAATAATACGATGATAAAAAGAAAGATTTCTCAATTAGGGTTATGGAGATTAGTGTTTTTTGCACATTGAAATCATCAATCAATCATTGTTAGACCACCATTAGAAAATTGGAAGCACTGGAATTCATCAGCAGTGCGCATCCAACGGTGTTAATGTCTAACTCTGATCAATCTACAGATTTTGCACGACCTCACCCGACAGGGTTGAACTCCACTGGTCCTGTCTTCTAATTAGAACTCCGAGTATTTCCTCACGAAGCTAGTCACTAGTGATCACTGTTTACGATTTTTCAATTAGAGTTATGGAGATTGGTGTTTTTTGCACATTGAAATCATCAATCAACCATTGTTCATCTCCATAACCTTGTTGCAGTTCGTTTTTTTAAGAACATTTCACCAAAACTATTCAACACAATATATTTATTGTTTTGTTTTTATTCTAAGGATGATGACTGAAGCAATTCATTATGCCTTGATATCTTCTTTTCTTCTCATATTCATTGGTCTAGGTGTTCGAGATTATATTCACGTTGTTGATCTAGCTGAAGCGCATACTAAATCATTGGAAAAAGTCAAACAGAATTGTGGTTTTAAGGTATTTTGTTTTTTTTTTCAGTTTATAATAAAAAATTAAATCATTATCAAGTTGAATATGTGCATGTTTAATAAGGTTTGATTCAATGTTGACCATGTAATATAGTTTCTTTGATTTCATATCAATCAGAATTTACCTTCGAATTCATTATTATTTAGGACTTATAGTGTTTACGAAAAAATTTAATCGAATAGCTTCACATGACATGTTTTTTGTGCATGAAAATGAAACGTATTCATCTGTTCAACACTTAAAAAATGTCAACAGGAGCGAAATCTTCATCATAAGTTTTGACTTTGAATCGATAGCATGTGATCTTCAACCGTTAGAAACATTTATTCATCTCATTGCACGGCTTTTACTAACTGACTTTATATATGGAAACCATGCTTTAATTCAGTTAATCTTTGCAGTTTTGTAAACTATTCACACTCCCCTCTCTAGTAAGCAGTGAACATTCATGTGTTATTTGTTTCCCAGTCATCTCAGTTGGTATAGAGTTAAATCACCGAACCAACTCATTTCTTACCTTTACCAAATACTTTACACTTAACTTTAGTGTGATAAAAACTGATGCAAACCATACATTATTTGCAAGTAATATATAAAAAACATTGAAGATCGGTTATAATCGATATTTTTAAAGAACATCTCAAAAATCAAATACGACAATACTAATCTTTAATTTAGCATAAGATAAATAATTTTGACATTTCAGTTGTTGAATACTGTGAACATTGTATATGATAATTTGTACTGCTAATCTGTAAAAGTTTAGTCTCAATTAATAAATAACTTTTTTTTTTTTAAAATGAACTAATCTGTGCAGAGTTAAATCAAATCCTTTATTGTTTACAGTTTAATTGTAATGATCCCGTAATATGATAGAATAAAACATTCTTTACAACCGATCTACAATTCAATTCACTTAAATTCAGTTTTCCTATGTAGTTTTCATTTTGTTTTGTTGATAAATTAATTTGAAAACAACTGACAAATTAAATCCCAACCAAACGCTTTGTTCATAACTTTCTCGTTTATTGCCTATCTAATATACAAAGATACAAGTTAAATTAAATCTCTGCTCACAAAGATAAATATAAAACACTACAATACTTCATTCATGTTAGCAAACAGATACGATATAATAAAAAAGTTTATCAAACTAGATTCAATCGAAAAGTTTGATGGTTAAAGATGTCTAATTATTAATCATTTAAGTAAAAATTTCTCATTGCTGTCAGGCATATATATGTGTATATATATATACTACAAGATAAATATGTGGTTAACTTAATAAAATATCTTTTAGTGAGAATTCTTTATTGTAGTACACATAAATAAATTTATTCATTTATTGGTCACAGTTTCTTGTACTTGACCTCGAAACATACTTTTCATGTGAGATCTGGTGACTCTATCCGATTACTCAAATCGAAATAGATGTATAGTAAATTAAACAATCTTGTCAACGAATCAGATGTCAACATTAATCTAAAAATAAAAAACAACTAGGTTAAAACGATAACGAATAATAAAGTTTATTTTTTTAATTGACGAATCATAGATCATTAGTAAGTCGCTATTGTCGATTGCACAAAATCTTAGATGGAGATATTTATCGTATATTGATCAAGTAGTTATTTACATATTTATCTCCTTTCTCATTGTTCTCCAAATCAGATTCATTATTGTTTGGTTTTTTCAGTACACAAAGTAACAAACAACATTTTTGTGTCAATATTAGTTGGTATTTTTGAGTTATGGTGTGTTGCCAATATTTTCACAACTGAGTTTTTTTCACCAGTTTTTTACTGACCATCCTCTATGCAGGCACTCTTTGATGATTAATTCAGTTACAAATTATTCAAAATAAATTTGATATAAAGTTTACAAGAAAAAGATTAAAAAAAAACAAAAACCATTTTTCTTCTATTCAACATGTTATTTACTTGTGTTATTCTTTTTTCTTTTTTCTAAATCAGATTTATAATTTAGGCACAGGTCAAGGACATTCTGTATTACAAATGATACAAGCAATGGAAAAAGCAAGTGGTAAAACTATTCCTTATACAATTTGTTCAAGACGTTCTGGTGATTGTGCAACGGTTTATTCAGATGCATCATTAGCTTATCAAGAATTAGGTTGGAAAGCAAAATATAACATTGATGTAAGTAGATTTTTATATATATATATATGAAAAAGAATAAATAAAACTGAAATCGATTCTTTCATTGTATACTTTTTTTTTTTTTTTAATGATTGACTTTTATTTATATGTAATAAACATTTTAAATAGATAAGTTCAATTGGATGATTTATCGGGTTATTGATTGGTAATGATTTTTTTTATATGTGCATTGTATTTAGCTAATTTTTCTTATATAGTTAGGCATAAATATATCAATAGAAATTCTTGTCACTGTTGTATATGACTTAATCGAATATTATTTTATATAAATTTATTCACGATGGGTAAGGGTAGTTTTACACTGGTTTTCAGAATAACCAGACACTGTTCAGGTGTTAACACTACAATCTGAACAGTACAGCTCAATCCTGTGGTGCAACCACACAGGTACCTGATAACCTACTGGACCATTTACACCATTTATTTACGCTAATACATATGGTGATTATTTCCGATCCATAATTGCGTCAATCAATATACACAGCATGAACAGACTAATATAGCTCATCCTGCTTACATGACTAACTCATTATTATTAGCAATGGTGATATGCATTACAGCATCCCAATGACAATGGTTCTCAGGAATGCTGCAAGACAACCACCACTATCAATTTAACCTGTTACTCTGCAAACCAAATTGATATATGGACAATTAGTGAAACTTGCCAAAGTAATACCAAGCCATCTACAATGTTCATAATGAACCTGTAGTCTCATAGTAAACCTTTATCTCTAAAGAGCAATATAGCTCATGGTATATACATCGTATGACATTGTATAGTAAGAGATGCATATGGGCTCACATACATTTAATACCCTTTTTCTCATGTCGAGATACATTTTTATCTCAATAGCGAAATTCTCATTCTCCCGATCATATGAAACCCGACTTAGGGATAACATCCCGATGAATTAATCGAACTAGTTAATTTTATTAGAATATTGTACAGTAATTTACTCATTAAAGACTATTAAACTTAATAATGCAACAATTAAAATCAATAAAAAAATTGTTTAAAAACCTTTTGTAGCCTGTTGTTTTGCTCTCCTGTAACATCATTACCGATTAACTCAAATAACTAATGATGATTAGATGATCTGATGGTTGATATATCATGATATAAAACAATATCCGAGTTACAAAGCTACTACTGACTAACATAACATTTCATTGGTTGTTTTATGAAATTCAATTGTTAATATGATAACATTTTTATCACTGTTTATTGTTTAGTTTTTTCATAGTGCTCACAAAAAATTATCATATGTTTACATTAAGTAATGATTGTGAAAATTAAGATCTTATTCCTTGTAAAGTTTCTTTATTAAATAGTTAGAGCTTCGAACAAATAATTAAATAGAGTAAAAAGTTATATATATATATATATATATATATATATATATATATATATATATATATATATATATATATACGTTTTCTTTGGATAAAGCTAACAACGTGTTCCATTGTTACATATATATGAATTGTTTTAAATGAAAATGTTCTAGTTTTTTAGGCAATTTCACATAACTATATTATCGACGAATTAATTGGTTACTGTTAAATTATACTTTATCATACAGTATTTTAATTTACAATACAATGATAAGAACGTTTTTAGTTTTCACTTAGTCAAATACTGTAAAGATCACATCATCCTCAGTTTCAATTTAATTTTACATTTGTAACTGGGTTCTTTGTTGTTGTTGTTGTTATTGTTAATAAAACGTTTATCAATCGATAAACTAATCCGTTTATGGTTTCTGAATTCAGTTAAATTTTTTTTCTCTGTATACTCGATTAGTTGGCCATTGCGTATAATTTTTATGTAAACATGTTTATAAAGACTAGATCATTGTTTATTGTTAACGGCGTGGATCTAGTTATCAAATCTAATGATAACAATGTGAAT